TGTTGCTGTGAACATTGACTTCGTCAGTTGTCACTGTTGATGCGAAAAGTATAACGAAGACTTAACGACACTCTTTCCGCCTCATGAAAACGGCGCTTGAGTCTCTAGTTCGCACGAAGTGAATTTTCGTGGATACTATAGCCGCTGTAGAAAACGCTCAAGCATCTCAATGTTCTTGCTTGCAAACATCATTACGGGCGTTCTATACCGCCTGTAACACGAAACGCCCGAATAACATGAAACGTCTTGTGGCGTAGCGATTAGAGCATAGGGCTTCTGTAATGGGGACGCGGAGTCCAGCCTTCGAAACGTCGACAACATTTTATTTGCTCTTTTCGGTGAAAATACGCTCTGCAGTGGCTTGACTTGCGCACGTGAGCACGTCTACTTTGTGTGTTTGACGTCACTCGCAACGAACATGGCTATGCCGACAGCCGTTAGGCAACGGCTGCGAAATGTTGAAGAGGTTAAAGACGTCACTCGTTTGACATTCATCTTAGTTGATACAGCACATAAGACAAAGGCGTATAAACGGAAAGCACCAAATGTGTTCGTTGTTCAGAGCTGCATCAAGCATGTCAATATTCCAAATAGCCAAGCTTACTATTTTATTGTAGTTGAAGAAACGTAGGCAGTCAAAATTTCCGGAGCTCTCCACTACGGCGTCTCTTATATTCATATATGGTGGTTTTGGGACGTTAAATCCCACATATAAATCAATTACTATTTTACTGTAGGTATTCATCAGCAATTCGAAAATCATCATGCTAGCTAAATGAGTGGTATTCGCGTTTAAAGAAAAAGTGCGATATGTTGGGCTTGTTAATGAAAGAAATCACCGATGCTAAGCATCAACACAGAGTTGATGTTGGCACGGCCGATGCTTAAAATCTTCTTTTTTCTCCGTAGTTATAGGTTGTATGATGAATTAAGATAGAGAGATTGCATTTCTTTTAACGAACTTCCGAGAAAGGAGATGCAAGCCTTTAGCCCTGAGCCCTTTAGTTTTTTTAATGAAAACTATCTAATGTGTGAATAAAGGCAAAAAAGAAGTTCCTACTGAACTGTGTCTCGTTTTCTTCGAGTTTTGACCAAGCAGTCGCAGCATTCGTCTATAGTATATGCAAGGTGAACTTGGCCGAACGTGTAACTAATGTGTCGCACATACAGTAAATACGTGCCCGAAAACTGCGCAGAACATTCCTCCCCCCCCCTCTCTTCACTTGCATTTATTTCCTTCAAACCTTTTTTTTTTTTTCAAGCCTGGCTTTCTCGTGCTTCGTTCGCGCCGAAGCACCCGGAGAAGCACTGCTGGATGGTTCACCGCCGGCGACAATCTCGAACGTAAAGGAAATATACGTACATATTCAGAAGAACGAGAAAGAGAGCCTGAAAAGGAGTTCGAAATTAGTTTTTCCCAAAATGGAGAAATGAGGGAGGTTTCGTCCTGGTTCTCCACTCTGCTCATCTCGAATGACGTCGATTCTCGTGCTGCCGCTGACGTGCCAACAGTCACAAAGTAGCGAAGCACGACCAACGAGCGAGAACAACGGAAAAAAATAGAAGAAACGGGATAAAGAAAAAAAACTCCGATATAAAAAGAAGAAAGAAAGAAAGTATGGCGGTGTCCCAGAAGACGTTAAGCGTCGTTGTCGCCACGTCAGTTTGAAATTTACCTGAACATGGCTTTTTTTTTCATTTCATTCCGTCACTGTCCCCTTCTCCGCTGTGCCCTTCCTTTGGAAATCCCAGCTCTGCGCCTCGGCGGAAGAAATTACCAGCGTGTGTCAGATGCAGGGAAGACTGCTTCTCGTGTGGTGTCCTTGAGCGTCCCACTATTGCTCTCCGGGCACACGGTGCGTTACTTTTCTTTCGTCTTCTTCTCTCTTCCTACTTCTTCGACTTTCTATTCTTTTTCTCGTGTAACGTACTTCGAGTCTTTATTTTAATTTGCCCTCGCCACGGGTGCTCAAATGAAGCTTTTTCCCGTCTTTCTCGGCAAACTGTTTCATTTTGGCGCCGACGAATGGTTTCGACAGTCTGCTGAACGCGTCAGCGTGATAAAAAGGAAGGAGGCCTCCTCCTGCCTAGGCTTTCCTTTTTTCGATAAGAACTACGGCATCGCCCAGGGGCAGGCAGCCGCGGGCGACATTTGGAAACGAGAGAGCATGAGTGAACGGGGACGTGTGCGTGTGAACGCTCGTCACCTCTTGCGTGCAAGACAGAAAAGGGCTCGGCATTCAGGCACTGAAATTTTCTGGGTTGGTCAGTGGGAGAGGAGGTTCTTCGAAGAGGATTTCTTTGTTGCGTTTTGAATAACCGCGGCGCTCATTAAAAAAACACAATTATTACCTTTATTGTTACACTTACGCGTGTGCCATTAATTGAACGAAAAGTGAGAGATTACAATATTGGAATAATTATCATCTCCATGCTTCGAGCTTCAGGCTGGTAATTCATATTTCAGCAGCCGCTCGCGTTGCGTATTTAAAACACATTTAAATATTGAACGCGATAAACCCTGTTGAACGGAAAGTGCGACTTCAAAGCACGAGTGAATTTGGAGCTTTTTTTAAAATTCAGGAATGCTTATTTAAAAGTACACGTAATGTCGTGAGCAATATGAGCTTGAACGTGCGAGTGTGGGGCAAATAGCCTCTATACTAGATAACCTGATACGTGGATGGCGCTACTGAAACTGGAGGGGGGGAAAGGAGGGTGCTGTTCCACTTACTGTTCACACTCCCGCATGATCGCTGCTGAAAAAAGGCAGGTGATCACACTCCATCGGCCGTTAGCAATGATAACACAAAAAGAAAATGCCCCAAAAGCAGAATAAGTGAAAGATACGTTTTAAAATGCTCGGCGAACACCACGAAGATGTAATAAAAGCATGGCCTTTGCGTCGCGGCAGGCTACGTCAAAGCCGATATCTTTGTAGCTGCATAACCTGATTGGTTGTAGCTGTGCGCGTTGATGTGAGGTCATCTTTCTGATAGCAGCCACTGATGCGCAATAAGCTGCGTTTCACAACTATATCGGAGTGGGAGGGAGTATCAACACCAGACGGAAGCGCGCTACCCTTTCCACTTTGCGACAGCGGCCGATGCGAATCAGCTGATGTATATATAGGGTTCGGGGCTATTCACGACGTGCTCGGTTGTTCGAACTCATGTACATGCTCCCAATTGTACATGTATTTATTTGAAAGGGGCCACAATCACGCGAGGAACAAAGTCCCTGAATGGTGACAGGTGTGCTATATTTATGAGCACAACCTTTGATCACTTTAATGCTTGCGATAAACTATGCGTTCATTATATGCCATAGTTTTTTTCATAACTACGATATATCTAGTGCAGTGGTCTCACCTTTGTAAGCACAGTATTTGCAATGGAAGCATGCAACGGTGTTTTGTAACAACATTCGTAGCGGACATTACTTGCAATGGAATCGCCCGAACGCCTTTTGAATTGGAACTTAATATATCTGGCGTCTTTGCTTTGTCGCTTTCGTCCATATTCATCTTTAATAACTCATAGTGCCTTCTAAAAATAATAAAGAAAACACCGGTGCTTTGATAGTGAAGTAATCCATGGAATGATGGGGGGTGTGTGAACGTTCCTTACCTTAATAGCAATACCTTACCCTAATGCTTTCTTTCTAGAAATTTTGAGGAATGTACGATATTGCAACTGTGGTAAGCTTATATGCATTTTCGCAAGTGGAATGTTTCATTTATAAAGATATTGTCGCCCGCATTATGCACGACGCATTTGAAATGAAGTTCGCGAACGGGGGGCTCATCGGTGAGAGCTACGCTGGCGTCGGAGATTGCGGGTGACACAGCAGTTCAGCGGGGAATCCAGCAAGGCGTGTACGGTGTAGCTCTCGCTGATCAGTGCCCCGTACTCAAACTCCTTCGCCGGTGTTTCAATCGTTTTTCATTTTTTCAATCTTTTCTTCCTTCTTTATCCATTTTAATCTCTCCTTATGAGCTACCGATGAGGTGTCGCACTTAGCTGGGGACAGTGATGGGGCTCACTTTTCTCTTTTCTTCTCCTATTTCAAAACCAATTGCCTCTCTCCCTTGATCGACATGAGGACATGGTCTCAATCTTGGTTGTCACCCACACATTTTCCTATATTATTCGCTAGCCAATGATCTCCAGTTTCAGGTGCGATATATTTTTTGCATAAAATTAATTTAAATAGTCACTACGCCATTTGAAGGCACAAAAATAATGTTCAGCATTATTCTCTCCAATTCACGTATGCTGTCGATTATCGAGTTGCTCGCTGATTTGCCAGAGACGCAGCAATCGCAAACGAGCACTACAAGAGTTTCCACTACAGGAGCATGGTGAGGTGTAACGTGTCGCGCTCCTAATCTCGAGGACGCCGATTCGGTTATGGAGGTACATGTCGATGTGGGCGAAATAGATGAACATACATCTACCTTCATTTATCAGGACGACATTAAAGAAACCTCAGTGGTCTAAATCATATAAGTCCCGACAATATTTACAAGGGGGAACTCAGGCTCTGTGGTATTTCAGCCACAATGGGGAGGCGTGAACATGGCTGGAGAGTCTGCTTATTCGTATTTGCGGCTTTGATGCGCTTGTGGCTTCATTTATATTTGGGTGTGGTGCTAGTTTCGAATGTAAGGATTTGTGGTTGGAAACACCGAGAGTCTATTTGAATTGATAAGCATGAAAAGGTTAAAGAAGAGAAGTGCGACTGCTGAACATTTGCTGAACTTTCATCTTGCGACAAAGCGACTTTGAACCACGGGCGAATGCAGCCCAAAAAACAAAGTTTTGGCAAACCTATGTACTGCCCATTATGCGCATGTTAGTCAAACCGCCATGCACGTTGGCTCCTATAGATACCAGCGCCAGATTTCCCTCTGGGGTATTATTGTGAAACTCTATAGTCTAAATAGAACCCCGAACAACGTAGACATGCAGTGAGTGCGCTGCGTTCGCTAGACTTACCTTGCGCAGTCGATGGCATGTACCCAGTTGTTGCACTCGGCCTCAGTTTCGGCTTTCAGCTCGTATTGCCTGGCACCTTCCTTGCGGTAGCTGATTGTGAAACCGTACTGCAGATAGAGAAATGAAGACAAGGAAGTGCGCCATGATTATGGAGTCGCAACTTCAGGAGCAGCAGTGAAATAATGATAACGAGGGAGATAGCTTCAGAATTCGCTATTTGCGTGTGCCACATTAAGACCGAAGAGTCGGAATCCTGAACACTTGGTGCGAGCATGCTTGTGTTTTCCAATGCACCGATATCACCCACAATACTTTTGCCACGTTCCTGCTGCTTTTAAAATTGCCGCATTTATATTTTCTGTTCATTCACAATAGATATATATATTGTGTGTTATAGACTTTCAAGTCAAGCTGCGAGCGTATGAATTTGTTGCATTCTGAATGCCTGCACGGGGCAACAAATAAATCATACACTCCTTTTACTATCAAGGGTTTTCAGTTTTGTGGTGCGTGTGTGTTCTCATCGGTCACAAAAACACACACACACACACACACACACACACACACAACACACACACACACACACACACACACACACACACACACACACACACACACAGACGTTGCAGCGAATTAGAGCATTTATGTTGTTGCAATGCGTCGAGCATACCGAAGGAGCCATTTTTCCGGTTAATTAGAGCCAAGAGAAAAAGAAAGATAGTCGAAAAATACCACTGCGTTTCTTCCGCAATTTAGCGAAGCACATTAGGCTAGGAAACATCTAAGAGATAGTGGGATTTTCATCTGACATTGTCTCTCGGCATATTGCGCAACCCCAATGAGGTCCACCACTCAGGGATACCATTCCCTTGGTTAAGCAAGAAGCTGTCGAAGAGCGAGTTCGATGCCATCCTTGCTCCAACATTTGTTGTTATCTTTCGGTCGGCTGTACTGCCATTGCTCCACTGCGGCCTAATAAGGATTACTTGGTTTCTGTCGTGTCAGTTTCAAAACTTCTGGGCCTTCCGCTGATAATTTTTTTCCTATCGAATCTTCCTCTCGAACCAGTTTTTATTCGTTGTGCTTTCGGGTGCTGAAGGCACGCAAGCAGATCTGGAAGCTGAGATTGAGTTTCCGCCCGTTTCCTGGAGCCATGTCACGACTCCTGTCTTCTCTTTCATTCTCCATGGCTTCAAGTGGCCTTGCTGCTGGGGAGGCCAGTCTGTATTCGAAGCCAGGCACCTAATTCTTCCGGCACAGCACGGACATTTCCGGCCTTCTGGCTGCTGTCCGAGCTCTTCGTGAAGTCGCTTCCGGTGACCTCAGGTCGCTGCGTACGCCATACTGTCAACGTCGTTACGCTCTTGGCCAGCCGCGATTCCTCGACCAAAAACCTTGGCTAAGGGTTTCGCAGAAGTGGTCCTCTTGATGTTGCCCCGGCGCAACGGAGCGACGAACGTCTGTTAGCGAAAAGCGCGAAAGAGAACAAAGCTAGAGAGGGAGCCAAGATATGCGCCCGCTTTAGCTCTGATGCGTGAGTACGGTCATCAAGTGCTTTCATCCGGGCCGCTGTGACCGCCGTCGTTAAGGAAGGAGACGCTAATGCGGCGAGCAAGCGACCCGTTAACGTCCAGGCTCAGCACGTTCGCGGCTCTCTTGTACGTGTTTGCTCCATTCTCGCGGGCAGGGAAAACGAACCTTTCTTTCCGGGCATTCAAGACCCTTAGGGCCAGCGCGAAAAACGCCCTCTCAAGGTATGCGATCTGAATTCGGTTCCGAGAATGTACTCCCACTTCTGGTGGGCACAGTAGAATGCCTTGCCATGGTATAATAAAGCCGTATAATCAAAGACATTGGAAGCTTGACGTGTCTCTACACTCCTTTTGTTCTACAATAATCGGACGTTGTGGTCCAAGCTACGCGACCGACGTCGGTAACCAAGGCTGGGAAGCGTCTCTTAAGTAGCTGAACTGTCATCATGCGGGCAGTGTGGAACAGAATATGTTCGTATCACAAACAAGCGTACGTACGAGGTTTTACAGGACTGAAGGAAGAATTTTAATCTTCACCGTTATATTCTTGCAAATGCAGCTTGAAGCTGCGCTTTGTGTAACATTGTGTCAATATGCCTCACGGTGTAACTTTTTGTGCGTACAACCTCGACCACTGCACTGTCCGAAAACGTACCCACATCTCAACCGCATTTGACCGCTGAAAGCATGTTGTTTGGTACTGGCTGGCACTAGAAAGCCGATAGCTTTTTCTTTTTTTTGCTTTCGATGGTTCTGGAAGTTTGTGGAGGCGTTGAAAATTGAGCAATACGTTCAAACAAGGCAGAACTAGCATGCGGGCTTGAGTGAAGCGAGTTAGCGTAAGTGTCTGACAAGCTGCTTATAATCTACAGGCGCTAAGAGCGCCCCCGAGGCAACTAAGTGTTATGTGAAGTAATCTATAGTTATAGTGCAATAAGACGTGCTTAGTAACCTACAGGAAAGCCTAACTCACGAGAGTTAAGCAACAAGTGAGGGCGTTAGATGAAGTTGTAAAAAGCGGTCTTCAGTCCACTCTACGGGAAGTTCACTGCGCTTGCTTCCAGTGGAAGGCGGTGTGATGCAACTGACGCTGCTATCCATCATGACTTTAACAAAGTGCAGGTCACTATGCTGAGTACATACGGGTGAATAAAAACCAATACAACGTAATGTTTTCAGTCCCATCAAGCTTTTTGAGATGACGTATGCTTTAGTTTAGCTCGACTACTCAAGAACTGCCAGCTTTTAACTTACTCGTCTGGCTGCGTAGATACTTTTATGTTGTTATTGTGGTTCCTAAGTATTTGATACTTTTTGTTTGTTTGTTTTTATTTTTTGTTTGTTTGTTTGTTTGTTTCTTTCTTTCTTTCTTTCTTTCTTTCTTTAAAAAGCAACATAATGCACCAGTGATGTAGGGTCTATTAACAATATAAATAATTCATTTTGCGAGGCATTTTCGGTCAGTACATCGTCGGGTTACCGACCTGACGTCATGGTCAAGAAAAGCTACAAGAGAGCGTGTGCTGCGCACCTAGCGTACTCGGGATATGGCACGACCGATTGTGGCGTCTGATATGCAACACCACTCTGACGGACCGTGGCTGCTCTTGTCCAAGTTGTGTTTTCTACAAGTAACTTTGAAACGCCTAATATATACCTTAGTATAGAGGAAACACGTTGGAAATAACTCCACATTTCTCAGACATATAGAATAAGCTAATTACTTGCTCACAATATTCATTCTTTAGAGAGTGCCCAGTGCATACGCGCAGTCGACTGTTCCCAAAACGGCATTTACTTTGTGGTTTATACAAATGTCTGCGCTGACAACCGCAGCTTCTTGCGTACCTGCGTGTGTGATTATGGAATTTAAAACGAATATCAGTCTAGGTATTTTAAGATCAGCCCTTTTTTTTCAGCCATATCGCTATTTGTGCTACACCACTTTATCGCACACCTCTTTAGAGCCACAATTGTTATCACTGACCCTGAAAAAGCTGAATTGTGATATTAGACTTCGTGTCGAAAGACGGGAGACAGGTCGATTTGCAATCCGAAACGAATGTCATTTGCGTGCTTGGATCGCAAAAGAGTGCTACTTGCATGCTTGCATATTAATTGTAGCTGAGACATCCAACTTCTCTATCAACCCTCCTAGGTTGTATCGGATTGTGGGACTTGACTGTTGACCCGGAAGTCGTAGGGTCAAATCCTGACCATGACGGCGGCATTTTGATGGAGGCAAAAAAATCTAGAAGCCTGTGTGCATTTACTTAGGTGCACGTTAAAGAGCCTCATGTGACTGAAATTTCCGCAGCTTCCACTACGGCGTTTCTCATAAGCATGTCGTGGTTTTGAAGTGTAAAACCTCAACGTTTATTCCAAAAAATTTTCTTTCTCTGATTGTTGTTTCCTTTGTACCTTCTTAAACAGCCTTACCCTTTCTCGTTACAGGCGAGGAGGGAATTACATGTAGTTTTTTCGCCTAGGGCCGATCTCGTTTATATATCACTCCGCCTTTTATGTTATTTTGTTTTTTGTCCCACTGAGCTCTTTCACAATCACGTCACATTGTCTATACCTGTCAGACACAGACGTTCACCTTTGTCAACGTTGACGAAAAGAAGAGCCATTTCAAGTTGAAGCCACGTTTTCATTGTTCAACTTCTGAGCTACAACCATTGATGTAGAACGCAGGGCGAGTACTGCCAAAAGCGAATTCTTGAACAAGAGAAGACGAACTTTTTCTGTTCAAGGAGCCGGAGGCGATCCAAGCACAACCACTTCGCATTTTCGTCTTCTACCTGATTTCATTATTTTACCATTATATTGCAAGTTGCATTTCTTGCTGATTGTTTCAAAACGGGTGCTCTTTTCTGCTTAGCCCTCAGCTTTACTACCTATTCCGTGATATTTTTACCAATTACTACACAGTAAAATGCTGAGGGTGGACCGAAATAGCAGCAAAGGCTACACGCCGATAACGATATGTCCTGGAGTTGTACTTTATTTTTAGAAAGTGTACTGGGGAGGCAGATGTGCCCATGACAGGTTTTAGGACGGTGAACAGTGCGCTATTAAACGATCACCACGAGTATTGTACTAAATAACTGCTAGTCAGACTATTGGTCATCAAAATTTAGGGTCCGCGCTTTGAACTACGCCAAGGACAGAAATCAGAATTCCTCCCTTCGTTTCGTGCAACCTGAACGTTATAGAATATGAGTGTTCTCACCTGAACTTTTGCGCTTGTACCCATAATGCCTTTGTTTGTTTTTCGGAGACATTGTTCAATACAATGTGCATACTTTATTTGATGTTCCCAGTTTAACAACGAAATAGTATACAACGATCGCATTTTATGCACATGCCTAAGATATCTTAACTTGACAGGGGTGTCTTGAAGGGCCAGTTGGTGAGGTACATGTTTTTGTTTGCTAATAGTTCTTGTTTTCAGTATATATTTTCCAACGCAATAAACGTGTGCTAGTTGTTCGTCAACGCTTGTGTTGCATAATCTTCTACTTGTCCGGTTTCTGAGTTGTTAATTAGAAAAACAAAACACGCCAAGTAAT